CACGTCTGGCACTGCAGGATTTGAGTCCCTGGCGGCGTAGTGTGTTACTGATGGTAGCCTTTGTTACTTTGGTCCCAGCTCTCTGCAGGTCATGGACTAGGTCCCCCCGTGTGGTTCTGGGATTTTTGCTCACCGTTCTTGTGATCATTTTGACCCCACGGGGTGAGATCTTACGTGGAGCCCCAGATCGAGGGAGATTATCAGTGGTCTTGTATTTCTTCCATTTTCTAATAATTGCTCCCACAGTTGATTTCTTCACACCAAGCTGCTTACCTATTGCAGATTCACTCTTCCCAGCCTGGTGCAGGTCTACAATTTTGTTTCTGGTGTCCTTTGACAGCTCTTTGGTCTTGGCCATAGTGGAGTTTGGAGTGTGACTGTTTGAGGTTGTGGACAGGTGTCTTTTATACTGATAACGAGTTCAAACAGGTGTCATTAATACAGTTAACAAGTGGAGGACAGACGAGGCTCTTAAAGAAGAAGCTACAGGTCTGTGAGAGCCAGAAATCTTGTTTGTTTATAGGTGACCAAATACTTATTTTACCGAGGAATTTAACAATTAATTCATTAAAAATCCTACAATGTGATTCTCTGGATTCTTTCCCCCCATTCTGTCTCTCATAGTTGAGGTATACCTAGGATGAACATTACAGGCCTCTCTCATCTTTTTAAGTGGGAGAACTTGCACAATTGGTGGCTGACTAAATACTTTTTTGCCCCACTGTATGTAAAAGCCCACATACAGGCGTGTACATGATTACAGATGCACAAAGGAACTCAGATTTATACAACAGCACAAACACAGATGGCAGTAATCAACATAACAAGCTTTGATGTTTTCTTGAGGTGAAAGATACTCACAGGGAGGTAGAAAATAAGAAACTGCAGCGGCTGTTTAGCCCAAGAGCAACGAGCAGAGACTGAAAGGCCACTTAGAAAATGAGAAGCGGCTAATATGCTCCGTAAGTAAAGCCATTACAGGGTTTGGGGAGCTAAACTTAGCAAGGCCAGGGACATTTAGGTGGATCTCATTTGCAGAAGCCAGCCTTGGTGCTCCCATTAAAAAACAATCAGCAGAGGGGAATTAAAAGGCAGGCGCTCACTTTGCATTCCTCGTTGAGATAGAGAGCGCTTCGGAGGACCTCCACACTCAGCTTCACCTCCTTCAAATAGCCCTCCTCCTGGACATATAGAAAGAGAATGTGTTTACATCAGGGGTGTGCTACTTTTGAATCGGCTCTCAGAAAATTAAAAATATATAATGCAGTATGGCCCTCAAATGAAACTTGTGCTTGTCTTTTACTTCTCAAATATAGATGTAAACAGATATTTCACAGAAGTATTCATGTGTTGATATTAAGCCCACGTTTCAAATAAATTCAGTCAATTAAAGAAATAGACCCTTCATATTTCCTCTTATGATAATCAATCTGAGGCTTCTGTTTTAAGGAATGAGCTACCAACCAAACAATTGAAACCCTCTGGAGAGCTGTGATGTACGCTGATTAAGCATTACTTGCTTACATTTGATGGATTTGGCCGACTTATAACTTATGAGTTAATATGCATCACCTCTAGTGAGCGGCCCAGCCCTTTGTATATTTTTCTGTATGTGGTGAAAACAGTCTGGACACCCCTGGTTTACATGTTCACGTTTAAAACATCGTTAATGCTCCATAAAATAGAGAGGACTGAGACTTCATAATCATAATATTTATCCAGAAACTTCAACAGGCCTAGAAATGTTGACTGTGGAAGTTTCCATCCAGTCTCCGCTCACCTTCCTGCGGTGGGAAGCCTTCCCGGGTCGGATGGACTCGAGGTGGAGCTGAGAGTGAGTCTTCTTCATCTGCTCCACACAGCTGTCAATAAGACCAGCTGGGACAAAGAGAAAAGGATGTGGGAATTTGTGTTGTTCACTTAGCAATAAAAGAGCCGTTACATTAAGATATCAAGAAACTCTACATTAAAAGTGTGTCTGAGAAAACTCTAGATTTGCTTACGATTGTGAAAGGTGATGTCTTTAAAGCTTTCTGACTGTCTTTGTTAAGGACTGTGGGGGGTTTCTGTTGTGTCTTTATTTTATTTTAAAATGTTTTATTATGTATGAATATGTAGGAAATAAATGAATAAAAACTGAAAAGAACAAATAAACTCTTGTTCGTTACCCTGATATAAATCCTGAAGCAGATTAATATTGCCTTCTCAATGAAAGTAGAGATTGACAGTGACAACATTCATTTTAATTGACCTGTATTTATTTTCTAAATTGTTCATATGCATTGATTCTTCCCCCTGAAATCACCAAATTTCAACGATCCGTGGGAACCGTGAATACTGCCCCAAACGTTCTGTTTTTTACCCCAAAAGACACCTCTAAGAGGGGGGAAAAAACGGTGAGACAGAATATGTTAATGCTTCCAAATTTCAAATAACAAACAGAAATAGCTGCTTAATTGACCAGAAAAACTCTCCCTATCTATTTGAGTTCTGTCCTGAAGCAGATTCACATTGCCTTCTCAATTAAAGTAGACGAAATGGTCTTTCATGGACGCGGTTCTGTTTTCCAAAGTGTTCATATGCCTTGATTCTTCCCCCTGAAATCACCACATTTCAAAGATTTTAATGATCCGTGCGAACCGTGAATACTGCCTCATAAGACAGTGAACAGCGTTATTATTGATTTGACTTCTATACATTTTGTTAATTCATTTTTAGGATTTGAGACCTAAAAAATGTTGTGACTCCTTGTTAAGGCGAGACACTACAGGTGAATAGGGTACTTTTTTTAACTTAAAGATATCAGCTAGAAATGTCTCCAGATAATGACTTACATTAAGAAAATTGTTGTTTGTATTACAAGCTTTCTGAAATAGCATGTTTAAATATGCAAATGAGCCATATTCTCATTAAATATGCGCATATTTTAACACATTTCAGGAACACAAATCTGAACTTTGGATAAAGCCAGTTTCAAAATTCTTGTTTCATTTTGTAGTCATATTAGAATCTGAGGCTTTTACAGAAGGGATTTTGGATATCTCTTTTTATCACTCCATAAATCTGAAAATACTGACCCTAAAATATCAATTTTCGCCATGTTTTTAGGTATAACATGTTATATAATTCAGGCTATGAATGATATATGAGCAAACCCTTCTGTAAAAGCCTTCAGAATATTGATAGGAATATAACTGGAAGGTTTGGTGTATGTAAGTGCTACTGAAAAAGAAACCGTTCATTTAAATTGGAGTACTATTGGATGTAAAGGGGAATGTGAGAAAATAACTAATAAAGAATAAAAAAGAGGGGCGAACAAAACTGTGAGACTGTGTATGTTAATACATCTACATTTCAAATAACAAAAAATAGAAATTTCTGGTTGTAAAGATAGACGCAGTGTTCAAGAAACGCTTTCCACTCTATGACCTGTATCACATGACTTATGGGGAACCCCCAGAGAAAAATCTAGTGACCCATTTTTCACTTTTCAACAGGTTTCCCCGTGTGCACAGTGAGTTTGGGGGATTTACCTTTGGCTGCGTGGCTCTGAGCGGAGCGGCTGCACGATAACAGCGCCATCAGAGCTCGGGCTGTCGGCTTCTTCAGAGGATCCTGAAAAGTCCTCTTGTCCAAACTCTGCATCCGACGACAAAGAGGGAACGTTATTATTCAACAAAATCACAGACGCTCAAAAGATAGCATCTAATGACTCAGACGTACATAGCTTTGTGTACATATAACATGTATGGTTGGGTAAAGAAATGGTAATAACGATTAAATCCTTTGATTCAAAGATCAATTAAAATCCTCTTTCACGACCACACAACATATTATTATTAATTATTATAATATATGATGATGTGTGTAATAATAATAATGATTATAAGCCCTATTGGTTAACATTAGATCACAGCTGAAGAGCAAAACAAATCAAGGATGAACTGAAAGGATTATTTCCAAATAGCTCCATCTCCTGGAAGGTCAAGTCTGTTCAGCTTCTGTGGTTCAATGTTTATTTTAGAAATAGCCGGTTTGTATTGTGTATTCTGTTGGCTTTTTAATGACTTGTTTTCATTGTATTCTAATGTTCTTTTCTAATGTGTTTTTGAGCACTTTGTGTAGTACTTTAAAAGTCCTTGATGCTGAAATGTGCTGAAATTAGATTTTCTCGAAGGAAAACGTTTTTTTGTTTAGTTTTGACAACATTTTTCCCTACTTATTCTCCAATAATAACGCCGAGTCTAGACAGTCGTACCTGCAGCAGAAGGTCACACAGCTGGTTGGCCGAGGGACCGTTTAAAATGTCCCACAAAGCGGAGACATGTTTAGAGTTTGTGACCTCTGCACCCTTTGTCTCCTCGCTGAAAACCGTGCTGAGGAACTGCAGAGCCGCTGTGTGCAGAGCAGAGTCTGCCAACTCCTCCGCCACACACACTGATAACGTTCCTACACACACGGGGAAAATAAGAAGAGTGAGTTGTTCTTTTATTGAATGACACAGCATTAATAATCACTCTGAATCACAGCGAGACCAAACGGCACATCCATTGGTTTAAATCCCCTGATATTTGTCCGTGAACACACTCATCATTTCAATGCAGACACGCAGATGCCATAAACAAGCACACAGAGACATAAATACAAGCAGAACAAAAGCTTCATCTTTCACTGGACTCATCACGTCTCCCTGCTGGGCCATTAGTCACAGAGGAAGATAAGGTGCTGTAAGGACGGGATGCAATTATCCACAAGCAGCATCTGTTCAGGGAACTTAATACACACAGTAATGACGTTAATATGATAGAATATGAGGGGTTTTTGTCTGTGCAAAATTACACATTAAATGCTAATCCTGGGTATTTAGCTCAATCAGCAGAATTAATAACAGTTATCAGTCATTCATGAATCTGGAAAACATGTTTTTAAACTCAATGAAACGCCTTCTAAAAAGACAATAATCTATTAGGATAAATGGTGATTAATGATCCATAATGGGTGCACAGAGAGAGACAGAGAGACAGAGAGAGAGAGAGACAGAGAGAGAGAGAGACAGAGAGACAGACAGACAGACAGAGAGACAGAGAGAGAGAGAGACAGAGAGAGAGAGAGACAGAGAGAGAGAGAGAGAGAGAGAGAGAGAGAGAGAGAGAGACAGAGAGAGAGAGAGACAGAGAGACAGACAGACAGACAGAGAGACAGAGACAGAGAGACAGAGACAGAGAGACAGAGAGACAGAGAGAGAGACAGACAGAGAGACAGACAGACAGACAGACAGAGAGAGAGAGCACACACACACACACACACACACACACACACACACACACACACACACACAGTACTAACCTTCAGAAGCATTTCTCTGTTTGGCTAGAGTTTTGTGCAGTTGTTAAAACGTTAAAAAAAAACAGACAGACAGACAGAGGGTGAGGGTGTGTGTGTGTGTGTGTGTGTGTGTGTGTGTGTGTGTGTGTGTGTGTGTGTGTGTGTGTGTGTGTGTGTGCGTGCGTGCATGCGTGTGTGTGTGTTTGTGTGTGTATGTGTGTACCTGCAAATGTGTGCCAGCGCCTCCCCAGCGCAGCGGAGACAGATGGGTACGCTGCAGAGACGTCCCTCCTCACCAGAGTCGCCAGGAGCGTCAACACGTCGGCCCAGAACACACACACACACACCCGGGAACCTGCGTCTGAGAGGAAACACTGAGTCACACACTTTGTGACACACACACACACACACACACACAGAGATCACATTGTGCGACATACTGCAGGGAGAGAGGGAGACGTGTGGGAGGCAGAAAGTACATTTACCCAAGAGATGTACTTAAGTCTTGTACTTAGATCTGTGTGAGTTACTTAAAAATACAAGCTAAAATCTACAAACCATTATTAAAGATCAAAATAAACGTACCAGCTGCAACATTAAACGGAGAAACAAATTAATGTGATAATAATCTGATTAATAATTATATACTTTTGAGCCCTTTAAACAACAACAAGCAGTAAAATACCACATCACGCAGCACCGATATTAATCTGAATGGATCTCAACTTTTCTTGCGAACAAAAATAAACGTCCATGTCAATTTTGATTAACTGCTTTGTTGTGAAACTTTGATAAATTATGCAAACTCTATTTTTAATAAAGCTCACTGCTATTTCATAGAGAGGGTATATTACAAGCCAGGTTTGACCCATGACCTCGGCTGCTTAATATTCTAAATTTTTCTTATACTCTTAAGTATGAATAAACAAAAATAACCACAATAATTGTTCTGACCTAATCCTTTGATATCCAGCATGAGCGCAGCAACCAGAGCCGTCAGCAGCTGTTTGAGGAAGTCCATCTGACCAATCAGCTGCGAGCTCACGGTGACACATGACCCCAGCAGTTTGCAGAAGCCGGACAGGAACTGAAGCTGTGTCACGAACTAGAAAACACACAAGACATTTTTCACAGGTCAAACACACACACGCATGCAGACAGAATGCACACATGTATTAAGCAGCTAAGGTTAGAGAACATATACAATTAAGTTTCTGTACTAAGAATAGGCTTTTTGAGTATTCCACCCACTCTTAAATCTGTGTGTGACCTCATTAGACCTGAAGCACTGTGCTGTACCAACACACTGTCTTAACTCTGAAAACCTGGCAGAGTGTCTCACCTGGATCTTGATGTCTTCTCTCTCTCCTGGTGGCACGTTGGGCGTCTTCAGCTCACTGAGACACGTCTCGATCGGCCGAACATCCACCAGACTGAGGAGGAAGAGGAGCATGATGGGAAATGTGTGTGTAAGAAACTACCTAGAGGGGATCGAGGCTACAATCAACATGTATTCTCTACAGAGTCAAATATATATATACATCATTAATAAATACTGTGTGTTTAAAGAGCTCAGTGTTCAATTTAAACTTCAATCCTCTCATTTCATCACCAGACTGGATTCAAGGAAGAAGAAATACCCACTCTACTGAGTCAAATAACCATAGATGTTTATTTATATCATCTTTTATAGTTATTTAAAAATGACCATAAAACGATATGTTCCCACTCATTTCACAAACACATCCTTCTGGGGTGTTTTCCTGATTCCCACCCTGCAGGGGGGGACTCTCACCTGGCCAGAGCGCGCAGGATGTGATGGTGTGTGACGGCGCTGAGGGTGAATTCGGGCAGGATGGACAGCAGGTTGGTCAGCAGGCCGCAGTGAGACGTCATCAGATCTGGGGTTACCATCGATACGGGATCTACGGCCGTCGATTGGTCGCCGTGTCGGGAATCTGCCGAAGTCAACGAGTCGCTGGAGTCCGTCTCACTCTGACCTGTGAGACACGAGAGACACGAGATAATAAGAACAATTACTTATTATTCTTAATTCATTATCCTGGCCATACCTTTTTTGATCCACTGTCCAAGGTCTTGCCAGGATAACAAAAATTATTCTGGCAAGACCTTCTTTCACCAGAAAGTATTTCTCATTCTCTCCGAGTTATTTAATATAAACACAAATGTGTGGACCTTTTAAATATCACTGCCCACAACCGGGTTTCTGAAAGTACAAAGAACTAAACCATAATGTGTTACTATAACAGTGAAGGCATGTGTACCTTGAGCCGTCAGTCTGCTGGCTGGAGCGTCCTCAGTGACGCTCAGTGGGGAGGGACTCTTCGGGGTGTGTGGCCCTGAAGCCCTTATCTGTAACGCAGAATATAAAGATGTGAGGAAGGATGCATGACATCATGAACATGTAAGTGTAAAGGTATAAAGGTATAAGGTGTTACCACAGTGCTGGATGTGGAGAGCGAGCTGGACGGCCTGCTGGAGTCCACAGGGGGGTCACATCTCCAAATCCACAGAGAGCTCTCAGAGTCTAAACACACATGAAGACACATTCTTTTCTTTAATAGAATTAACTGCGGACAAATTATGACTGAAAAATACTTCTGTATTTATATAAACTATACAAAACAACGTACATGTTCTCATCAAAAGTGCAACTGAAACTGTAAACTGGGCAACTGTATTTTATCTTAAAGGGGACCTATCATGCAAAATGCACTTTTGTACGTCTTTTCTACATGAACATGTGTCCCAGGGAACTCACCAAGTGTCAGAAAACACAACCCTCCTCCATACCCAAATCTCTTAAAAAGGGGCTGCAACAGATTTGATACAGACTGATCCAGATTTGAACACTTCTATGAGGTCACAGAAGTGGCGCTACGGCTATTGGGCCAACTCCACCAATCAGGAGGAGACAGCCACGGACATTGCCGTTGGAAAGCGCTGGAGACGCTGTAGTACATATGCCAGGCCTGTAGATGGTGCTGTTCTCACAGAATCAGCCCATGAAAAGACAGTGTTACATTGAGCAAAATGAGGAATGGCTAAAATGCATGATCTGTTTGGTATTTTGAAAAATAAAAAGTATAAATATGCCTTATATAGGTATGGCCCTACACTATATTATTCAAATATAGCATGATAGGTCCACTTTAAGTTATTGATGAAATTCAGTTTTCCACTCTGGTTTTTGTATGCATGCACATGCTTCTTATATACAGTAGGTACATGCAAATACACACAGTTGTGTTTTTTACAGATACAAATACATTATACAATACATTTCATTTCATTTGTTCCGTTCATGGTATGCATAACTTAATGTATAACAATTATTTAGAAAACATGTCTCTATAAACACGGCGTACCCGAAAAGAAGCAGGGAGAAGAACATAATCTGATATTACCTGCCCCTTTCTCAAAACAAATAAATAGTTCTTATTCACAGCCAATCATAAGAGTACCGTAGGAAAATAAGAGAAACACAAAACCGTACACAAAAATACTTAGTTCCCACTTGACAGTTCACGGAAAGAAACAAAACAACAACACCAAAACACTTGGAACTTTTTGATGAATAATGAGACATGTAAATAAACCCTACCCAGTGACTGGCTCTCATGGGGTCCCCCGGCCCGAGGCTGCAGGTGGAAGGTGAGCCGGCCTCGGTAACATTTGGAGGCGCAGAGAGCCACATGTTGGAAGTACTGACAGTGATACAGAAGAGCCTGCAGCGCTGGAAGACCCACCAGAGACACGCCCGACTCTTCATCATGGACACAGGGGTGCTGCAGGAGGAGAGGAGTCTTCATCAAACTGTTTTTAGGACTTCTACTGAGATTTTACTGGGCAAAAAGGAACAGAGGTGAGAAAAAGGTTGAAGGTAAAGTCATCTGGGCTCTGTGTTGAACTCTGTCCGAACCGTAGACTGTTTATAATGTCTGAGAGATCACTAGATATATTTTCAAACTAAAATGTACTTTCCAGCTTTAGATGAGAAAGGGATATAGAGTAGAGGGCTATAGGAATGAGTCCTCAAAAATGTGAATTAGTCAGAATCGTTGCACTTCTAGTTTCCTCGTGTGGAAGTAAATATGTTCTTCGTCCGATTTGTCTGAATGTCCAGGGTCTCAGTGCATGGCCTGCTATATATACAATATTTCGTCCCCAGAGCAGAAACAGAAACACTTTCATTTGTTCCCCTTAATATTCTAGATTCATTGTCGTCTTGCTTTAACAACTGCAGTAGATCTATCAGTTGGAAACATCACAGAAAATACACTGCTGCAGTTACAATACAATACATACAATACTGAAATAGCTTAAGTTAAATAGCATGTTCTTTTTTATTCAACTGTAAGAGCCACTGCTTTCTTTCTTTCTTAACCTGATTGGAGCTTTATATATTTGTCCTGATTAGCCTTTTTTATGGAAAGAACTGGTTAAAGAGTTATGGAATTCCAAATTAGGATGCTATTGGTGTTTTGACAGAGATTTAAAATGTGTTATTTTGGATGCGAGCGCCCCAGTAGAGCTTCAGTTCTAGCAAACAACCCTGATCTGACCCTGTAGCTCCAACAAGAGGAGGGTGTGAGGAGGGGGGAGGGAAGGGAGAGAAACTGAAAGAGAGAAAACAGTTCATGGTCTATAAAAGCTTTTCAACGGATTGGCAGAGCGGCTGACCTGCCAGTGGGAGTCCTTGGCCTCCTCTGCGTTGGCAGGCATGGGCATCACCAGCAAGTTCTGCAGGATGAATGCAGCCTGGACACACACACACACACACACACACACACACACACACACACACACACACACACACACACACACACACACACACACACACACACACACACACACACACACACACACACACACACACACACACACACACACACACACACACACACACACACACACACACACACTGCATCAGCAACAGTGCCATCTGCCTGCTTTTGGCTGGTAATACAGACAACAGTCTAGGCACATGTTCAGCTCCTCAGAGTCCACAGTTCATTTCCTGTTCAAACTCAAATGTGTCTGGGTTGTGCAGAAGAGCAGAGTTGCAGATCAAATATCCAATGTACACATTTGAACCAGGGGGCTTTTCAGTGTGTACAGAAAGAAACCTCCTTCTCCCAGAAGAGCTACTGCGGAGGGATCCCTCTCCTGGGACAGACCGACACACAATAGATATTGTGTTCATATATTAAAAAATAAAATGTACCTGAGTCGAGAAGAGAGGTCTAAGGCATGTCTATTAAGAATTGTATTGACGGCAGCCCTGAAGTGCATCACCATTAAATGGTTGAAACCAGAACCACCCACCTATAACTGCTGGATTCAGAGAGTGTGGGACCACATGGAGCAAATAACATATTTATTACGCCTACAGGAAAATACATGAATCAAGCGTTTGAGCATTTACTAATACAGTAAGAATTGTTAACACTATGTTACAGTATGTCACTTGTACTCTCTCTCCATCATTATTGTTTTATATTATTATTATAATTTATATTTATTTACTTTTATTCATTATTGTTTATTATTATTTGTTATTTATTTTTCTTATTTTCTAAGGTAGGCCATCTTTATTACATGTTCTATTTGTTTTAGCCCTGGAGTGGTACTCTGTTACTAATACTTGAAACCTATTCAGGATTGTATTGACACAGCTGGACAAACTGAGAATGTGACTGAAAGATATATTGAACTGTATTAATGTCAGAAACTAAAACAGAGACAATCCAAATGTTACCTCTCTGCGGACCATGCTGCTCTCCTGCTGATCCAGGAGGATGTTGAGCAGCGTTCCCCACAACCCTCCACTGATGTTCTGACAGCTGGCACACAGAGCCTGACACCCGCTGGACCCCGAGGTCAGAGCGGCCCCCAGACCCAGAGAGGAAAACCTCACCTGAACCCAGAGCGAGACGGGATGAGGGTAGGAAAGAAGAGTGAATACATACGGTGAAGCTGTACTGACTCACAAACGTGGGACATGGGACACCTAATGTTGGGAACATTCTGAATGTCCTCTTCCAACATGAGACCAACATGATCACAAAGGTATCCCAACTGTAGCTGTGAACATGACAGGATGTGTGATTACCTAGAAGAGCATCAGGACTGTTTGAGGCATATGATAGCTATGTGATTAACATGATGATTCAGCCTCTATGGAGAGAGACATATGACAAGCATGCTCATTTCTGACGTGGAGCTAATCTGAAGTAAACATTGAATAGACCCGGTATTCCTCCATCTTGTGACTGTGTAACTCTCTCTCTTGGATATCAGCATGTGAAGGACACTGTTCAGGAACTAGTTGATGCTCTGTATGTGATGACTACTTCCATTCTGGAGAGGATCACAGATACATGGATCCTGAGATTGAGGCTCAAGCCGGGGACCAGTGAGATTTAAATAGCATTTAAATATACAATGGTGAATTCTAACTTGTCAACAAGCCTCTCAGACTGACTCGAGTTATTTTTAGTGACAGACGGAGAGTTGGTATGACTTGCCGTCAGGTGCTTCCTTTTGTCTGCGAGTTCTTCTGCAGCTCTCATGGGTTTCAATGTGTCCCAAAACTCCAACATGTAGAAACTTGATTTTATAAAGTTGAGATGGAGATTTAATAGTACAGTTTATATGAAAATGAGAAGGTGTGTGTACCTCTTGATCGCGGTCGACCCACAGAGGGATGAGCCAGGCCAAACCGAGCTGAGAGGGGTTAGTGTCCTCAGAAGACACATCATTCCCCAAAGACCACTGGGAAATGAAGTCCTGATGCAGACAAAACAGAGAGAGGAATATTGGACAACTCTTTCTAAAGATGAGATAAGAAACAGAAGGAGACACTGGCATCTCCTTAGATGTTGTACCCTGTCTATGAGCTTCTCCTAAGTGATTGAACTGGCATATTTGAGTCTAAAACAAACAACATTTGAACTCCTATATTAAGCTTGCAGTAATAATAACTATTAAAAAGTGGACTTTAGAACTAAATACAGAGAGTTAGGTTTCATATAGGTTCATAAACATTATTTTAAAACTCCTCTATCGCCTCACTTCAAGATTTAAAGCTTATCATATGGCAATTATTTTAAAAAGAAGTCTGGAAAGTAATTATTATCTAAATCTCCTGCTGATGAAGTGACCTGCTGAACTTCACGATTATCTGTGTGGCAGAGTATCACCTTATTTGACAGACATTTTTGTTTAGGCTTTAGTTTGTTTTGTTTTGATCAGCTGTTGTTTTTGTTCTAAACTCTGACACACTTTCTAAAGATGAGATAAGAGACCTTTGCAGCAGTTTGTCCACACTTGCCTTGTCTTTGTTCTCCATCAGCATCTCGTGGGACAGGTGAAGGAGGCAGATGACGGCGTTCTTGGTCACACCTTTCCCCATGAAGGACATGGAGTTTCCCCCCCACTCCACGTAAAACGAGGAGATCACCTGTGAGAAAACACACGGATCATATTGGGCATATTGGATAAAAGCTCAAGGGACTGCAACTCATTTTGTTTCATTTTTTAAATTGGACATTCATTGAGATTAAATGTTATATTCCGAAAGAGACCTGATGACAATAACACAAACAGCAAAACAGAAACAAAATGATTTTAATTAACGACTAATCCGACTACTATTTTCTACATGAATGTATTATTAATTTGGTGTAAAAGTGTCAGAAGATAGAGAAAAATGTCCATCCAAGCTACTAAAAAATCAAAGGTGATGTCTTAATGTCATGTTATGTCTCTCCAATCCTGAGAATAATCACTTTCGTATGATTTAAAACAGAGAAAAAGCAGCAAATCTAAATGTTTGAGACTGAAAACAGATTTTTCTGACCGGAAAATTATACATTCATCAATTATCAAAATAATTTAAAATGTGTTTTATTGTTTCCACCTGCTCTCATCTGACTGACAGAACTGCAGGTGATTTGGTTTTGGTACAGTAGCTAAGTGATGCGGTCTCATGTTCCTACATCAGAAGCACCACCTGTGTCAGGGTAAGGGATGATGTTTGCTTGTCATGCACCTCACGGCATGGAAAGGAAAGCTAAATACAGCTGAGACTAATTATTCTGCTCTGATGTGCGATCAGGATGTGGGACAGCGCCGGAGAGCAGCTGCACATCCAGACCGAGGAGCTTTAGGGCCCCAAAGCGCTGAGAGAACCAGGTGAGAGGTGGGTCAGAGGGTGGAGGAGAGTGATGTGTTCATTGTTATCATTGAGATGGAAGCAGCCGCCAGAGATCCTGACTGAAAAACCAAATTAACCTTCAATTTTCATTTTAATTCATGTCCGTACAAGCTGCCCATTACAGCAAACAATGAGAGGTGTTTCCACTCAGAAATAAGGTTTGGACACCTCTGTGCACGAGCTGGTGCAACGCCGTGTTACGGTATTGTTTTATGGACCGGTGAACAACGAACAGATGGAATAGGCAAGGTTGATTCATCTCATCAGCATCTTCACAGTGTGGCATATCTACTCAGTGAGGTTTGTACCGATTGCAATGCATGTCCCGTAACCACGTTTTTACCTAATTAATTCCTCAGGAAGCACTGTGCTTTTATTCACCATGTCTGTAGGCTCAGATCAGAGGGAAGCAGCACATGCAACACGTTAACACCTGAAAACAGAGTCATTACAGCTTAGAGCAAGAAGACCTATTTAAGATTGAACTGAGGAACATATTTCACACATTTTCTATTTTGTTTTTTTCAAACTCAACCAGATTTATGTAACATTAATGCAAGAGTTCTAAATAGTTGTAAAAATGATTTGCTTGTTTGTATCAACAACTTGCAGATGTGTTAGCATATTGTTAGTTATAGAGACTATGTGATGTTGTTGCATGTCAATTAATGTCTGTTTCTTAATCTGTGTTAAACTGGCCAGAAATGTAATTAAGCAAATGGCTAAATCTGGCTTTTCTCTTTTCAACATGAGTGCTTTGTATGCATGGTCTGTGTTTAATAAGGACTGACGTCTTCCCATTTTAATCAGAGAGGGTCCAAACCTGAGTGCGTTGAAGACCTACATTTTTAACAAAAGCCTTCAGTTAGAGCTGCCATTTTATGGTATCCATTTTATTTAATTGTTATGGTAATTAATTTGATGTTTTATGGACTTTTTTTGTATCTTATTTTGTTTTCTCCTTCTGCTGTTACTATCATATACAATGTTGTTGTTTGTTTTTAATCTGTAAAGCCCACTTTCTATTTTACTATATTTTGTCTTGTTTTTTTGTAATGTTAAAATAATGTGTTATTTTTATTTTTGTTTTACTTTTATGTATGCACCAGGACACCAAGTCAAATTCCTCGTACGTGTCAACCTACCTGGTAATAAACCTGATTCTGATGATTCTGATGCGAACGTGTTTTGTGATATTGGGCTATACAAATAGAGTTTGATAAATCTGTATTGTACCTCTAGCAGCCCGCTGAGGTACTTGGAGCAGAGTATCTTGGGCTCCATGTCAGCACAGTGAGAGCTCCATCCGGGCTGTGCGGTGAGGCGGACCATGCCCAGCAGAGTCCTCTCCAGGCTGGGGAGGCCGTAGAAGCGCGGGGCGTCAGACACCCTCAGACTCTGGAGCAAACGCACCGCCAGCTGGCTCTGAAGCGGGCCCGCTAACGCCAGACAGAGCCTGCACACAGGGAGGGAAGGACAAGAGAAAACCAGACAGGCATCAGAGAGGATGCATGCTTCGTAGGTAACATTAAGCTGTGACACGTGTACATTTCCCCTCTGTATGACGAATAAAGGTATTCTGATTCTGATTCTGAAAGCCAAATGATGTTAAATATGATATTTAAATTGCAACCGGACACTGAAAAATAAAGGTCCTGTGTCTGGGAAGAGTGAGACACGAGCAAACAAGACAGACATGAGAGAGGAAAGCCTTGCATCTAAAAGAAATGAACCCAAATTAGAACAAGTTAAATATTACATTTGAATTGCAACAGGACACAAAGTGCTGAGCATAAAGCGCTGTGTGTCCGGTGACTTGTCAGATGTTTCTCGGTGATATCCCTGATGTTAACTTACATGCACTATTTGTGTTTCTGTTCAATGTGTTCACTTGGAGTTTTATTGTGAAGAACCGGAAGTGTTACCGGATGTTGTGAAGTGTTACGTGGGAGTTACGTGTTGTCTGTGATATCCGAAGATGGCGGTGTGCTGAAATAAAGTGTTGAAAGTGCTTCATATTATCGAGTAACACCTGGTACTTGTTAGTGGTGTGTGACAGGCAGCAGAGGACAGGGGGGGGGGAGAGCGAGACACGAGAAAAAGACAGACATAAGAGAGGAAGGCCTTGCATATAAAAGAAATGAACCAGCCAGGTGCAAAGGGCTGAAAATAAAGGGCTGGGTCTGGGGGTTTTCCAGATGTCCCTGCTACCTGTCAGTGGTGTGTGTGACTCGGAGCAGGATTGTGTTGAAGAAGCTGCTGAGCTCTCTCTGAAGTCTCTGGCCGACGTGGTTCTTCTGCTCCTCCGATTCCTCCGAGGTCTGAGAGGACGTCTGGGTCTCCACACCGAGCAGGAGACTGAGGAGGGACGCTGACTCCTGGATAAATGACGGATAAGAATGTTGCATTGGTCCATCATTATGGATTTAATAATTGTAATGTTATGATGACAGAAACACAGAGAGGCAAGAAAGAGTAAGAGTTAAGTGTTGACTGTTGTCTCTCTTGTGTTTAGGAGTCAATAACAGCGTGAAAAAGAAAAAAGGTTGTGAGAGGATCATCTGTATTATGGTAGTTACCTTCTTATAATAAGGTGTTATCAAGTTATTGTTAAATTACTGTCATGGCTTTATCTTGGCTACTAGTTTATTTAATGAAACCTTGTGCATGAAGACATTCAAACTCACCTAGAGGAAAACAGTGCCACTTTCCACCTGCCAAAACTAAAAGTAACTCAAACAATCTTCTGCTAAAACTAAATTAAGGAGTTATAGTTAGATGATTATGGCAAAACCTTCTTTTAAGTCAGCGATACTNACAGTGGGGGAAAAGTATTTAGTCAGCCACCAATTGTGCAAGTTTTCCCATAGTTGAGATATACCTAGGATGAAAATTACAGGCCTCTCATCTTTTTAAGTGGGAAAACTTGCACAATTGGTGGCTGACTAAATACTTTTCCCCCACTGTACATGTGTGTGTAAGTGTTAATTCTGCAGTTGTTTTGGATTTACTGCTTAAAAAAAGTGTGTGTTTTAGTCATTTCTAATCCTTTAGTTTTATCTCAATCTTTAGTTAAAATATTTAAAATAAAATTAAGTGTCCGACAGTATTGCATGTTGTTCTCAGAGCGTTTAGTGTATGTCTTCAGAACTTTCACAAGCTAACCACTGGTGTGTGTGTGTGTATAATCCATGTGTGTGTGTGTCTAGGTGGTGGCTACAGGTGCTCGTCTCACACTGGCCGTCTTTTCTCTCTGGCCTTGGCTCCTATTGGACGATCCGACCATGGAGGCAGTGCTGGAGCTGCTGTGTGTTTACACCGCCAACTGCATCACAGGTGTGTCTGTGTGTTTGTGTGGTGCATGTGTGTGTGGTGCATGTGTGTGTGTCTGTGTATTTGTGTGGTGTATGTGTCTGTGGTGCATGTGTGTGTGGTGCATGTGTGTGTGGTGCATGTGTGTGTGGTGCATGTGTGTGTGGTGTATGTGTCTGTGGTGCATGTGTGTGTGGTGCATGTGTGTGTGATGCTTGTGTGTGTGGTGCATGTGTGTGTGGTGCATGTGTGTGTGATGCTTGTGTGTGTGGTGCATGTGTGCGTGGTGTACATGTGTGTGTGATGCTTGTGTGTGTGGTGCATGTGTGCGTGGTGTACGTGTGTGTGGTGCATGTGTGTGTGGTGCATGTGTGTGGTGTACGTGTCAAAAGGTGGATTTGCAAATGGTTAAAGGACTGGAGGGTTTAGATAATGCCTCAGATAATTTAAGGGTGTGACCAGTTGGATATTGTCTCGACTATATCAAAGTCAACTTAATGTCAATCTTTCAGTTTGTGTGTACAGACAGAGAGATCGAAATATCGTTTCCCACAATCCGAATCCAAAAATAAATCTATATACAAATATGTATATACCTATATATATATATATACACAATCAACAGGCACATTAATACATATGCACACATTAAGACATACATAAAAGCACAAAAACACTGGAGAGCTGCCATCTTGGGGGGTATTTCCATATTGTGTGTGTGTGTGTGTGTGTGTGTGTGTGTGTGTGTGTGTGTGTGTGTGTGTGTGTGTGTGTGTGTGTGTGTGTGTGTGGGGTAGGCACTGTGCCTGGCCCTTGCCTGCACATGGCCTCTGTCTGCGGTCAGCAATCTGCCTGACTCACTCACACACACTTCTCACTTCTCACTAAGATCCCCATTGTCCCACTTGTTGCCCGCTGAGCAACATGGTGTCTCGCTGTTCGCCTCTTCACAATGAACACAGTGTCAGGCGGAGTCTCGCTGTATGAACGGCAGGCGATGTGTGGGCGCACAGAGCATCTCTGTCTCATCATGCAAATGTTATCAAACAATCAAAGTGTATTTATATAGCACAATATCACACATTTTGCATCTGTCTCCGGGGGCTTTACAGTTTGGACAGGACATGAATGAATGAGAAACATGGAAGTGAGAGCAACAGAAAATCCCTCTCCCACGACGAACAGACAGCAATAGATGTTGTGTGTAAATTAAAAAGTGAATACGTTATCATTTTCTGATTGCTGTAAATGAAGAAGTCAGCAGATTATTTGCAGGAACAACCTTTCTGAGTGCAGGAAATGTGTGATTTGTGGGGAGGAAACAGCAGACACATTTACTCTGATGAACAGCATGCGGTCTCTTTCTGATCTGTGTGTGTCGTGCAATGGAAATCAGATTCATCTGTGGGGCAAAGCGTTCTGTGAGTTTGATTGACAGCGTTTCCTCGGTGATGGAAAGCCGCTCACGCTGTGCAGAAGTGGGCTCAGTTTCCCCCTGAAGGTTAACTGAACAGCCGTGCATGCAGCCAGGCTTAGCGTTACACCATCCACCCTCAGGCTACCTCTTCTTCTCCTGAGACGGCTGCATTTCCACCACATCTTTCACCAGTCTACCTGCTTCATGCTTTGTTTGCACACGTTGCCAAAAACCGGCTCCCACAGACGGAAAACCAAACACTTCGTTACTCTTATAAAGACCATAAAAACATGCAGGTACGCAGCAGCAGTGGGGAATGCCTTAGATCCGTTATAAAGCAGACCTCCCATGTTAATTCTGTGATACAGCGGCTTCTTTGACAGGCATTGAGATAACCTCGGGCGAACATCAGCACACGCCGGTTGGTGCGTGTTAGCGTTCGAGGGTTAGCATAACCAACAAGCTGTCATGTTCTCCGAGAGGAAACATCAGTCGGTGTTGACTCTCGGCCTTTTCAACGCTCGCCGTCTTAAGCTCGTTCATTTCTGTGTTTTATATGTAACCTCCAGCCGCAGCAATTAGTCATGTCAGTTATCGGATGTGAAGGATGTGCCAGGAGAGACAGATATGTTTATTGGTGTGTTATTTATTTGTGGTCTAAATTGTGGTAGGAAGTGTAACCTTTGCTTCGAGCTCAATGACTTCCCTCCCTTTTAGAGTCAGAGGAGAGAAGTACTTTCTAACATATGATTGTGATGACAGATAAAGCACATTTCTGACGTAAAGCTACCTGAATGTTTCTTTAAAGTTATTTTAATTGTGTACTTGTTTTTTAAGCTGACTGAGTCTCTCTTTGCAGTCTGTATTGTTCCCACTAAGGGGACATTTTCTCTCTTAGTCATCATTTTTGTCTTTGACACCCAACAAGCAGAGCATGCACAGGTGTTTTGGGAAAGGAGCAGACAGCGTGCAGTCTCTATTTATGTGGCTACTGGTGGACAGCTAGCTAGCTTTAAGATAAACAGTTAGAAGCAACCAGTTGTAACAAGAAGACTGAGAAGAAGAAGAGTGTTAGTGTGACCTGTTTATGGACTTTGCAGTGATCTCCCATTGGACACAGGGATAGGTTGGACCATCTTGGAGTATTCCTTTGCAGCGTTGGGTTGTTGTGCTTCATATTCACTGTGCTCACGTTTCACAGTGTGTGCATGTGTGTGAGAGATGAGGAAGCTTGTAAAATGACTCAAACACAGAAATCACAAAACCTGACTACTTAAAATGTAGAAAAATGTTATTACAAGTTGTTATGTTCTGTCTTTCCTCTCAGCCTGCAGCTGTGTGTGTGTTGGTGGCTCTGGGTCTGCAGCAGGGTGTAGCTCTCTGATGCTCTGCGTCACGAAGCTGGCCTCGGGGGTCGCCTCTGATAACACCCCCGTCCAGAAACTCTCCTTCTGTCTGCTCGCTAACCTCGCCATGTCCCGTGACTGCAGAGGCCTCCTGCAGAAAGTAAGCCCTGGACACAGTGTGTGGTGAACAGAAATGTAGAAAAGGTCTTATTGCCTTCCCTATTTTCTCTAACAGTAGATATAACATGTTTCAAAATCTATTCAATTCAATTCAAAGGTGTTATTGTCATATGCACAAAGCTGTATTGTAGAAATGGCAATGAAATTCTTCTGACCTAAGCTCCTCCCACAATGCAACATATACACAAAAATACAAAGTAGTGCAAAAAGTCTATATACATGTCAATAGAATTTGGGATATGTACAAGAAGAGAATGTGAATGAAAAGACAAAATTGAATACGGTTTATTACGGAGATAACTATTTATATAAATGAGTATATTGCAAGCAACCTGATAGGATGAGCCAACTCTTTTCTTAAGATCATTTTGACTGGCTGTGAAAAACAAATTCAACTAAAGTGTGATATGAACTGTTAAAATATGAATACATGTGTAATGTTTGTACAGTATCAGAATCAGAAACAGGTTTATCACCAGGTGGGTTGACACGTACGAGGAGTTTGACTTGATGTCGCGGTGAATACATGAAAGTAAAACAGAAAACACAGATAGAGAACTATTTTAAGAACACTATAATAACATACAAAAATAAGAAAAAATATAGTAAAATGAATTCATATATAAATATCATTATTTTGTTTCATTATTATTATTTTTTTTTATTATTATTGTTTTACACGTTCGAAATAAATCAAATCAAATACCAACATTTCACTGGCTATACG